ACTAACCTTTAACTTTTTAGCTTTTACCATCCCTGAGCTAGGGGAGGTGTACGGTGAAAAAAATCGTACTTTATAGAGAGATGTGCTTTATGAAAAACGAACTTCTCTAAGAATCACAGGAAAGGAAAAAAAAGGCAATGAATAGTTCATTTTGTAGATTTTAAAATGTTTTATTGAATTATATATCTTTGTTCGTCTATCTACCAGTTGAAGAAAAGTAAAGATATTTCAGCGAAAGATCACTTCTTGAAAATACAACTTGATAAAAAGACGATCTTTCTCTATAAGTTCGAGTGTTACACATTTTGTAGACTCAATTTTTTGCGGATTTTCTTACGAACAACTTGTGAACAACTCATCTGTTTTAAGTCAAATTTTTACTGTAGATATACTTTTTAGAATTGCACAGCTAGTCAAAATTTAGCTGTTTCTCTTTTATTGTTCTTGACAAATTTGCATTATACGATAACATGTAGAACGACTTTCAATAAATCACTTTGTGAGCAACTCATGAAAGCTTCAGTTTGTTTTAAGTCAAATTTTTACTGTAGATATACTTTTTAGAATTGCACAGCTAGTCAAAATTTAGCTGTTTCTCTTTTATTGTTCTTGAGAAATTTGCATTATACGATAACATGTAGACTAACTTTCTTTAGAAAACATGTAGAACGACTTTCAATAAATCACTTTGTGAGCAACTCATGAAAGCTTCAGTTTGTTTTCATTCAAATTTGTACTAAAATTAGATTTGTTAGAGGTGTATGACCAAATAACAAATTCCGCTCTATATCTCTTTCTGTTATGATGAATTTTACAAAATATGATGCAATATAAAAGGATATTTTACATTAAATTAATGTTTTTTATGGTGCTTACATTTAACATTGAAGTAAGTCGTATGCCAGTTAATATTAGTAAAGTGTTGGGAAACTTTTGGTATTTAACATAGACATAGAGTGCAGTAACATGTAGTAATCATACATTGTTTAGGTTTATTTTCAGTTTTCGCATTAAAAAGTTCCAATTACTCAATATTATTTATTTATTTATCTTGGAAGATTTTGAAACCAAAACATATTTTCTCTTCTTCTTTTTTTGTAATTTATATATATTTGGTCCAAATATAAAATCAAATACTTTATGTCAAGTCTGTCAATAAAGACATTGTTTTATTTTATTTTAAATATTGATTTGAATAATATGAATAAAAGCATGGACGTGCTGTAATTCATTTGTATAATTATCTACACCTAAGTAACTATCCATTCGTCAGTCAAAAAGCACTGACTTCATATACACTTTATTGAAGAAAGTGTGGTAATATGCGCTATCCTTCTTTTTGCAGAGATCGGTTTCTAAGTACTAACTGATATCATTGAATTTTCTAAATTGAATTCTACCCTATTTAAACAAGGAAAACAAGGAATTCCTTTGGGAGCAATATTTGAGAAACGAAAGTACTGATAAATCTACATGTTTATTCTTATATTGCTTTTGTATCGGTTGATTTACAGAGCTATATTGAATAAATAGTTTCTACACTTGTATTTCTGCAAAAATGCTTTAATATCGTTGAAGGAAGCTGACTCTTTATTTACGGATAGTTTTTTATCATTTTTATATAACTTAACAAGATTTTATACAACAACCATTTTATTATAAATGTAACGACAATATTTGTTTAATGGTAACTACTGCAAATTTCGTAGAAAACTTCCGAACTGATGGTATTTTTCAGTTTACTTGTTAACAAAAGTAAAATGTGAAACAAAAACGAAGGTTTCTTTAAAGTTTCTCTATGTTGCTACTAACTAGAAGTCGAATTAGTCTTGAATCGTTGTATTCGATTATTGCTACAATCAACAACATAGAGATTGCCTTGTTGATCAAATGACATATCCTGAGGATGATAGAGTTGGTTTGATTGTTTTCCTTGATTATTTCCACCAACAACCACGATACCTTATGTAGCCCCTTTTGACCAAAGCATTACTCGATGGTTTCCACAATCTGTCACATATACGGTACCTAACTGATCAGCAAGCACTTCACGAGGACCAGACAATTGAGCTAGACCATTTCCTTTACCTTGACCACCAGCAACAACAATTCCTTCTGTTGCACCTTTTATCCACTTCATCACACGATGATTTTTCTCATCTGATATGTAAACTGAATAATCTTTATCGACAAAGATATAACCAGGACTATCGAGCTGATCAAGACGATTACCTTCTCCATGACCACCTGCTACTACTGTTTCACACGTATCTCCTATTCGCCATCGTCTTATTTCATGTCTCTCGTGGTCAGCAATGTAGAAATACTTATCATGATCCTTTGTTAGTCCGTAGCACTGAACATCAGAGATGACTGTTTGTCCACATGTGCCGTTTCGACGAGGCCATCGCACCACTCGCCTGTTTCCTCGGTCGCATATAATGAAACAATCTTTCTCTTTATCAACAGCTAAATCTGTTGGTTCATACAACTGATCGATTCGTTTGCCTGGACCATTTCCACCCGCCATGACTTGCCCATGTGTTGCTCCATACTTCCATTCTATAATGCGATGATTAAAAGTATCAGCGATATAGATTGTTTGTTCGTCGTCATCAACACATATGCCCCATGGACCATCAAGTTGACTTAATTCATTCCCTCTTTGATTGCCTCCAGTAATCGTGATACCATCTTGTAACCATCTTGTGTTGTCATTAATTTTTATCTTACATGGTGACACTACAATGGGACAAAACCTTATGATTTTAAAAAGTCTTGCTTTTCCTTTACGACCAACTTCGATATAACTGTGAGGAAAAAAATGTCTTTATTTATAGCAAGAGTGCTTCGTTATTCAAAGCTCATTATATAATACTTGTATAGTCGAATAACTAATGATAATAGTTTTCTTTCTACTAAATGTATAATTAAATTTGAATAATTTTGATTATCAAATGTAAGATATTTTCGTTTTTCTCAAATGTTTCAAGTTAACGTTTCTGAAGAAGTTTCATCTTCTTTTATTTTATGAAAAGTTCAACGTTGTTTGATGAGTTTTTGTGAAAAGAAGATTCTTTTAGTTTCTGCATTATTATTGTTTTCACGATTTTTTTTTCATTCGTTTTTCTAGTTTCGATAAGCTGAAAATGAATTGAAATATCGAAAGATAATAACTTGACTAATCAAAATAAAATATAGAAAATTCTTTGTCTTCATCACAATGTTCTATGAAAAGTTGCTTAAGTAACTTTAAACATAAATAGATTCAGTGTAAGGATTTGCTCAGTCGAGTATAATCATTAAAGAGAATTGTTTAAACATTAATTCTAAATGATACGCTACGATTATATCGTTTTCAAATGTTCAACTACTAATAATTGTTTCGGTACAAGTGATATTTTTTTCAAATCTGTGGTTCCATGTATCAAATTCTTTTTAAGAAAGACTTATTTCGGACTACTTTTTTCACAATAATATTCTTACAAAAGACGTCTATTCCATTTGTGTATTTTCTTCGATATAGTTGTATATGTAAAAGAATCAAGGAGTTCTAAAGTACCATCGATAAAATACAATGCTTACTAATAATGCAGATGTTCGTGTTCTCATTTAATAAGATTAGACATATTCGAATCAAGTTAAAAGTCTTATCGTCAAATTAACAAATTCAAAGTATGAGCTACTATTGGTGTGCACAGACGAAGATATTCGGTCTTTAAGGTATTTACACTCTATGTAAGCTGTCCACGATTTACAATTTTAGTAGAATTTTCGTGGTTTCTTCTTGACGGTTAGATAGATCTCATAGAGTTGCATTAGAAAAAGTGTTTCAAATTTAAAAAAAAAATTTACGAAACTCGACGAGCTAGATCCAACTGTGAGGAAAAACAAATATAAATTCTACTGAAACATTAAATCGTGGGTAGCTTACATAGACTGTAAATACCTTAAAATTCGAATATCTTCGTCTTTGCACATTAACAGCAGCTCATATTTTGAATTTGTTAGTTTTACGGTGAAACCTTTAATTTGGTCCGAATATGTCTAATCTTACAAAATGAGAATAGAAACATCTCGATTGTAAGGTAAGTTTCAAGATATGAATCTTTCAGAAATGCTTCTATTATTTTTCGATGAAAGTATGAATATCAACAACACTTACTAGTTGATATATCAACATAAATTTTGTTCACAAGTATTTCTAAATCTTGTTTAATCGTAATATTTGATAATTTGTTAAGTTCATCGGTTAGCTGAATAAATTGATTTTTCCATTGATGTAAATCTGTTTCAATGAAATCATTTTCTTGACGACTTTGTCTCAATTGATCAGTTAATTTATTCAACTTAATTTCTATATCAGGAATATGTTTAGCTGTATGTTTTAGTAATAGTTGTCTGGCTTCATCTGCTGTTTGTCGAATTTTGTCAATTGAATCACGTTCCTAATCACTAACTTGTTGTACTAAAATATAATTTTGTAGTTCTGGTGTTTGTTCAGTTAGTGTTTGTCGGAAAAGATCACAAGTAACTTCAACTTCATCTAATTGTTTATTTAATTCTTGACGATGATCCCCAAAATGATTATAACAAAAGATTTTTGAACAACCTTCACATTTGGATATTCCTTTTGCTTTTTGACATATATCATAAAGTTTTTTATCAGTTGTTGCTGTTGTCATGTGTTTAATGTGCGTTCAATAATGGTATATATTGACAAATAAAAATAAAAGTAATGAGAATAAAAAAAAAAAGAGAATGTTTTTCCTCTTTTTGGGACAAAAAAGATAAAAAAAAAAAAAACCATGGTGGAAAGTGGCAACTTGAGATGAGAGAACGTAAAGAGGTGTCGTTTTAAACAATGTTTATGCAAGTAAACCCACAGCCAAAATGATTTCCCCCCCCCCCCCCCTCTCCTATCACACCCTGTTTCCGATTTTCAACACGACAACATATCTGTCTGAAATTAGCTCAACAATTATTTTGATCGCTACGATTATCGTGTTCTTGTATCAAACTTTATGACTGAACGAAAACTGGAATTAACTGAATGAATATTTGTTTACGACCGATCAATGCTACGGTTGTTTGCCAGTCTGTTCAACGGATCAACCTAAAGAAATCAGAAGTCGTGCTTCATTGTAGAGTTTACTTGAGGCGCTGTCAACATGGCTGATCAAGAAGTTTGCTATGTGTGTCCGTCATGAAAGCACATTCCTATAAAGGATAGTGGAATAGAAATAGGATTTGATTCTGGTTTGTCAAGCGAGCCCTTCTCGAAATAAAGGCATTGTTATGTGGATGAATATTATTGTTGGAATTGAAGTAAGAGTAATTAAAAAAAGTCTTGTGGGATTCTTGTACGAGCTGGAATTTTTAAATTTTAAGCATCGCTAGCATAGCAAGTTGGAAATTTAAAAGAGATATAGCAAAGCCTATGCAAGGTCTGGCTTTAGCTCAAATCTAGAAAGCGTCTTTGAAAACGGACCCAGAACCGAAGCGACAACTCTTTAATTTCTTGTCAGGTATCAATGTGATTAGAAATCTCTTTGAATTGCGAAGAATCGTTGAAAATTATTCAACGTAATCCCGATAGAATCCATGAGAAAGACAAGATACAGTTGAACAATGAAGAATTGTCTGACTATTTTCTCAAAAGAGTCTCTCTACAGAATCTACTCCATCAATACTTCGATGTGCATGAGTACTGCATGGAACTCGATTGAAAACCGATCTCTGTTTTCTTAATCTGATATTGATCAGTTCATCTGGACAGCAGATTTTTCTATTAGAAAAGTCTTTGATGGAAAGAGGTTTCTTTTTATTAGTTGTCGCTTGTCTAGCAACTCCATATCAACAATAGAATAAACACAAATGTTCTCTGAGTAAAAATTTACCGCTTGCACAGTTGTCTCCCTGCAACAATAGTGCATCATTATAGTGAAATAATAAAAACGTAAAAGTGAACAAAGGCTTTTAATGGAAATATTAGACGAACAAAAGAACTGATAATGGAAAAAAACAACATGCATACACATCTATGCTGCTTGCTCTTAAAATACTGATTCTTTTCTTTTTGTAACTAAGAAAATAAAACGTTTGAGACGAGAGAGTGGTATTACTACGAACGTATACCTACTAATGGAATCTTTCAAAAAAGCGCTCTGGAGTGCTCTGTCCGGTAAGCGACACTGAGACTGAACTTTTGATCAGATCAAATTATTTCTTCTGATTGAAGAACACAACAAGAAAACTGATGACCAATACTGCGTCATTCGTTGGTCGGACGATAATAGCTTGGAGGTTGTCACTCAAAAATATATTGAAGCGCAATCTCATTCTATTCAAGCTTTTCAAGTGTACACAATTATAGTCAATGGTAAACAACGCCGAGGAACTGTGATTTATAAAGATACGGTGGTTGTAATGCAAAGTCGGAGGTGTCTACATAAGGTTTTCTCTAGGAACGAAACAAGATCGTAAAATGCTTCATTACAATGTCACTCCCAAAAACTCGTACGGTAGAAGTCGCAACAACGAGCAAGAGTAAGATAATGCGTGGCACTTATTGGATAAAGTAACTTTTTTCATTTATGTCCGAGTTAGCACCATCACCAACAACAACGATTGATGACGAGGAAACTTTTCATACGATTGCATCAACTACGTCTGAAAGTCAGTCGGATACGAGAAAAACTTTTGTGATATCGATTTCGAAAGAAAAGCAACATGTCTAAAACGATCGATTTCAGATACGGAAGATGATAAATCTTCTGATGCTGTTCGAACAGCTGTGATGCTACAAATCCTAAAATTACTTATTCAGCGAGTGAAAAATGACGAGGACGAGGACGGCAATGAAGTGCATGATGTCATATGTGATGCATGCGGAAATAGTCCAGTACGCGGCGATCGTTATAAATGCTTGCAATGTGAGGATTTCGATCTATCTGCTCGATGTTTTGAGCGTCGTGTCGAATCCAAAAAACACAAGAGTGGACATTTACTCGTTCATTTCCGTTTGCCAAATGAGATTTTTGGTCGAACTGTAACTAACGACGACATAACTTTCGAGAAACTCAAACAATTCTATGGCAGAGAAGTGCAGAAGTCGGTCACCTGCGATGGATGCAAGAAATCAGACTTTGTTGGATTACGTTTCAAATGTGATTCGTGTCCAAACTATGACTTGTGTGAAAAATGTGCCTCTACGGGTGTCACAACAAATGATCATGAGCCGACGCATCCATTGATTCTCACTTCTTCCCAAGCGATCGTACGAATACCCGTGGATGACATTGAACTGGGTGAAAAATTGGGCAGTGGTGCCTTTGGTAAGTGTAGTCCACTTTTTGATTAGCTAGACACTTGACTCTTTTCAAGGCTCTGTTCACAAGGCTCGATGGGTGTCAAAAAGTCGTACAGTGGCCTGCAAAATAACTACCGTGCCTGATACCATCCAGACCCATACTCTAGAAAAGAGTTTTCTCAAAGAACTGTCTGCTTACATCGAGCTGTCAGGTGGTTATATTCTCAAAACCTACGGATATGCAATGGCTCGACAAAGTAAGAAAAAAATCTACATGATCATCACGGAATTTATGGCACGTGGCAGCCTGTCAAATGTACTCAAGGACAAAGGAAAAATATCTCTACGTCGAAAAATCGACATAGCTAGACAGATTGCCAGCGGAATGCGAAAGATCCATGAACATCACATGATTCATCGAGATATTCGATCGGATAATATTTTGGTCAATCAACAATGTACTTGCAAAATCGGTGATATGGGCATCGCACGTGTTGTAGACCCATTCAATCAACATACGCGCATTGGTTGTGAGCCTTTTATGCCACCAGAATTTTACACAGGCTCGTACGATCAAAAACTCGATATTTTCACGTTTGGTCTAACCTTGAATGAACTCTTTACTGAAACGCAACATGCCTTCCGATGCTCGATCAAAGAGAAAATCGTCTTTCGAGAAGAGAGTCCGATCTTTCAAGACCTCATTGCTCGATGTACAGCTGATGATCCGAAACATCGGCCACCAGCAATTGAGATCGAAAAGATCTTGGAATTGTATGCTCAAGGTTTTGAAGCAATCGTTCTGAAGAAAAATCTTGATTATATTCGCTTATCTACTGAAGAAAAAAATCAAGTTTTCATCAAATTCTATGAAAAATTCCACAAATCAGCAACGATGTTCATTCGAAAGAAATTTCCAGCAGAATTTTTAGAAGGACCCAAGCTTGTAGCTGGTGTGAGAGTTAGAAAGCGTGGTGACGATAAGCAGCAAAGTGATTGTTCTATGCAATAGGTTGGAATGACTTCGACTGATGTCGGTCGGTGTTCCACTTGTGCTGCATCCTGAAAAATCACTGAATTACTCGAATATTTTTGTCTTCGTGCATCTTTTTTCAATGAAATAAAATTGTCGTATAGTCTTGCACTCTGTTTTGAGCCTTGTTTAGGCAACTCAACGTTTATAATGTCTCTAACAAAATAACTTGAATGAATTCAGTTAGAAAATGATCATTCATTGGCTTATTAGATGTCATGTGATGAAAAGACTAGATCGCTCCACTTTCAGAATGTACAAGTAAGAACTCACTGACAAAATTGATAAAATTCGCATTAAGTCATTGAGAGTTTGTCCCAACATCCAATCTCAGATACGAGATGTACCTGTGAACACTACGAACACCCATTGTGGACTTCTCTTTTTTAGTGGAAACACACACATATCAAAGTTTACTTTGATTTTTACTTATACAAGATGTTTTACAATTAAATGCCAAAGTAACTATGGATCTTCGTAGTTTTTACAGCTACGCGGAATGATATAATGACCTACCGTCTGGCATGTGTTGCTTCAAATTTTCGAGATTCAATTGGATCAAGTGATGGGGCGTATTCGTACATAAAATGTCAGTGCATTGTCTGAATAGCTATTGCCTATGCGTCTCTTTCATCAAATAACACATACAGTCGAATTTTACGTTAGCGTGACTCCTCAAAAACAAAAATGATGATGCGAAATCGATTCTACGTGATCTCGGTTTTTGTTTAGCATAGTTCAATCGAATCACGGAGGTTCTCGTTTATTTGATGAAGGGATCAAGCGCGAACGCTCAGTCCACTGTGAAAAATAATCCACTCGAGGAGACCCTCGCTGGTGTCAGCCCTGCCCATGTGCAATGACAAAGCCTCGACCAGGGACTTCCTTCTTGTTGGTCAAGGAAGTTCCAGTAACAAGTAAGTATACTCTTTCATTGACATTACTCAACCTCTTATACTTTTACGAATAGCAAAAATTGCACAGCCATGGTATTTTCTATGCGAATGACTCATTATTTTGTTTCTTTCTTTCAGAGTCACACTTTTTGCTCTATTGTTTGAGTATGTTGAAATTTTCATAGTCAGTATTGAAACAATCGAACAAACAACTGTTAACAGAAGACTCATACAGCATCATGTATTTTTCATTTAAATCTTTTTAAAATCTACTTGTATACGAATTTATTGAAGATGAAACAAATGATGCTCTGCATTTTGATCAATAATACTAACTTTAAATGAGATTCTTTATGTTGAGAAGTTTCGAAAATGTTCCATGCATGAAAAATAAACCTGTTGGTATTCACATCAATGAGAAAACGTTTACGCATCTTTTCCCTTGTTGAAAGATTTGATCTTTTTATTTTAATTTTAATACAAACGTTGAAGACTAGTATTGCATATATTATCACATAACATGTCTATATCAATTGTATATTGTTATGTACCTTCCTATCATAACAAGAAATCACAAGAGGCTTACAACACGCACAGAAATATAGCAACAAGATGTAAAGATACGCCAACTTCTGGATCATAATTTCAAAGATGAAGTTTTCCGTTTTAAGAATTCAATGCCCTGCCAACTTTTTTCTAGCAGTCCTGTTCAGTTTTAATTGCTCTATCTAAACAATTTGAAGCTTTATCTGATGCTACAGTTTGATATTTTTTAGAATAGTTAACATAGGTTACGGGAGAGACTAATATTGGTCGGATTTTCTCTGAAAACTCAAATTTCGATCAATTCCGACAAAGTCTGAACCTTATTTTTGAGATTCGATAGAGTTTTATAACAGTTTCGTACATAGCAATTAAAACTAAGTATATTATATTTTCGAAATTTCTTCACACAAATCGGCAATCTAATATGATTACTCTGTTAAAAGAAGTTTGCTTTAAAGACCATTTTCAAAAGGTATTTTGTCGCAATCCAATGAGCTATTCAATACGAATAAATAATTTAGATGGATGATATACTGAATACGTAGGCAATGGTTAAAAGCATCTTAGTTTGATATACCATATCATTGATAATTATGAGATTCATACTAATATCTTCATACTTTCCAAAACCGCTGCTATTCTGAATTAACCACTTCTTGTCTTTCTTATAACTTTTTACTATTGTCGGTTCATGAGCATAACATGTAATTGTTTTTTCAAAAGCCAAAAATCTTCTGAGAGATTTTAATTTTACTTGCTGCTCAATGCATGCGCATGTTTTCTGGTATCACATACATATTTCAGAGTGCAGGTTCGAGCGTATGGGACATTAGTACGTAGTGTATATGTGAGTGTAGATATGATTTTTTGTCAGTGGCTAATATATCCGTAGGCTTACTCTCAACCAAATAATGTAAATTTTGCAGCATTGGGGCAGTATTTCAGATTTCTTAGATGAAAAAACAAAATAAGCAGATTACACGAAAAATTCGATATTCAGAATCCACACAAAAAATTACATTTAGTGTAGTCAAGTCAAAACAAGTAACATGTCATTTTTTCTCATCAGATATTGAGTGACTGCTGTTGCGCGCAAAATGACAACTTTGATGTTTTTGTTTGATTGGAGTTATTCGATCTAAGAACAATCCTTTAAAATTCTCGCTTTGTTGTTCCTTGAGATCCTGGTTCATGAAACTTCGTACGAAAAATACTAGGGGTGACACGGTGACGATTAATCGTTCACCGTTCTATCGTAGTTACCGAAGAGCGGTGAAACGATCAACCGGTGAAACGATCCCCGGTTGGACCGATCAACCGGTGAAACGATCCCCGGTGAAACGATCAACCGGTGAAACGATCCCCGGTTGGACCGATCAACCGGTGAAACGATTCTCGGTGAAACGATCAACCGGTGAAACGATCCCCGGTGAAACGATCAACCGGTGAAACGATCCCCGGTTACACCGATCAACCGGTGAAACGATCCCCGGTGAAACGATCAACCGGTGAAACGATCCCCGGTGAAACGATCAACCGGTGAAACGATCCCTGGTTACACCGATCAACCGGTGAAATGATCCCCGGTTGGACCGATCAACCGGTTAAACGATCCCCGGTTGGACCGATCAACCGGTTGGGCCGATCAACCGGTTAAACGATCCCCGGTTGGACCGATCAACCGGTTGGGCCGATCAACCGGTTGGGCCGATCAACCGGTTGGGCCGATCAACCGGTTAAACGAGCCCCGGTTGGACCGATCAACCAGTGAAACATTAGAACTCACCTTCAGGGTCCTGAAAGCTAACTATATGGGGTACCCTTGGGTCCTCAAGGCCTACTATAGGGGGTACCCTTGGGTCCTCAAGGCCTACAATAGGGGGTACCCTGGGGTCCTAAAGGCCTACTATAGGGGGCACCCTTGAGTCCTCAAGGCCTACTATTGCGGGATACCCTTGGATCCTGAAGGTCTTCTATGGGGGGCGGGTAGCCTTGGGTACGCAAGGCCTATTATTGGGAGGTACCCTGTGGTCCTCAAGGCTCATTATAGGGGTACCTACCAGTCATCATGGGCTATGCTATAGGGGTATGCACAAGTCATCATGGGCTATCCTATAGGCGTACCATAAGTCCTCTTGGGGTCTCCTAGGGGGTACCCCTAAATCGCCATGGGCTATCCCATACGCATACCCACAAGCACTCATGGGTTATCCTAGGGTTTACACATAAGTCACCATGCGCTAGCCTATAGGAGTACCCCTAAGTCGCCACCAGCTGTCCTAGGGGAGTACCCAGCTTTCTTGGATCCTGCTATAACATTAATTTCCGAGATAATATCGAAGAAGCAATCAGAAATCTGCTTGTTCACCAAGAAACCAATGAGACTGGGAGTTTCTATTTCTGAGTGATCGAAGCGACGTAGGCCCACATATATACCTCTCATTCGATAGAGAATCCTCGATAACCCTAGGATCGGCCCGAACATGACTACTGGCTATCGGAACAATAAGAAAGAAAAGGCCTCCTGAAATCTGATTGGTTCATTTTTCGACCAATGGGGTCGCGAGTTTCTATTTCTCAGTGATAGAAACGACCAACACCCATACCTATACACCTCATTCGATAGGAAATCATCGATAACCATACGATCTGCCCCAACATGACTAGTGGTTGTCTAAACAATAAGAAAGAAATGGCTCCGTGAAATCTTATTGGTCGAGAATCTGATGAAGATATGTTAGAGCGGATGTTACCCTTTGCCAGGGCGGTCTATCATATGCAAGGTGTTCGTTTAAGGGTCCCACCAGTGTGCCGCTAAGAAATAGAGCGCGGAAGCCCAGTAATCTATTTGGTCACTAGGTAGGTTCCGGTAGATATGTGCTTTCATTTCACAGCGGCAGTGTTTGTTGAAGACCGAAGGGCCCCCCTGAATACAATACTTGAACTCGAAATTTACCCCCCATAAAACAGTAAAGGAGGCGTCGCTACTCGCCAATAGTAGGACTGGATGACCTAAGGTTATCACTATAGTATAACTTTAGGGCAGACGGATACTACTTAACAAGCAGGACTCTAAGACCGAAGGGTGTCCCTACAGTAGGACTTGAGGACCTTGCGTTGCTCCCCTATAGTAGGACTTGAGGACCGAAGGGTATCCATGAACAGTGAAACTGGAGGATCCATGGGTACCCTGAATAGTAGGCCATGAGGACCCAAAGGTACTCCCTATAGTAGACCTTGAGAACCGAAGGGTAACCCCGTGTAGCAGACTTTGTGTACCCAAGGATACCCCCTATAGTAGATGTTGGGGACTCCAGGCTATCCCCCCCTCTAGTACACCTTGAGGCCCGAAGGGTACTTCCCTATAGTAGGCTCTGAGGACCCAAGGGTACCCCCCTGTGGTAGGCTTTGAGGACCCAAGGGTACCTCCTGTAGTAGGCCTTGAGGACCCAGGAGTACCCCTATAGTAGGCCTTGATAACCCAAGGGTACCCCCGATAGTAGACCTTGTGGATCCAAGGGTACCCCGTATAGTTAG